TGGAGTATGTGCAGCAGTGTTATTTTCATTCCCGTAATTCACATCCTTTCTCCTCTCTCACCAGCAATTCCTTCTCATCTTCATGTACAGTTCAGGCTTTTTGTATTACGACAAGCACTACTTCATCTTTCTTAATCTAGATCCTGGTTTGGTACACATCCCTGATTCTCTGCTGCGCTCAAAACATTTTTTCACTGCTCAGTGCCAGAAGAAGTTACAGTTCTCCCACATATTTTGCAATATTTGAGGCTATTCCACTGTATTATTTAGCAAGATAATCCTTGCGTGGTTTGAGAGCAGCTTTTTGTGCTAGTCCTAGAATTTCACCTGGTAGGAGCTGTTCAGGTTATCCTGTGGTTTTTCAGCCACAGTCAGTCTTGGAATGGGAGGCAGTGCTTTGAGAGGAGCCTCTTCTGCATGTTTGCAGCAGCTCTTAGGATGATGGGTGTAGAATGCGTGTTGCTTTTTGATCTTTGCTTGACTTAAGATCTTACACTTCAGAAGAACTGCCCCTGATGTTTTTCCAGGTCTGGGAGGTTTGGGTTTTTTATGCTTTGTGTTGGCCCAAGTTCTGCTGACAGCAAAGGTAGCAGAGAACTTTGGTCCCCACTCAGCATTCCTCAAGGACCATCACAGTCACCCTCAGAGAATTTTGCTTAAAATGTTCGGGGTTTTTTGGGTTGTTTTCTTTTCTTAAATTCCTTTTGTCAAAACACATAACGTTGTTAAGCATTTCCAGACCTAGCTCAGTGGTATTGCAGCATATTGAGCATCTTCCTTTGCTTGCCAAGAGTAACAGTGACACCGTGTGGCCAACTCAATAGAGTTCTTGCACCGAATTTCCATTACTGTTTTCTTTCAAATTCGCCTCTGGATCTCTTACACTGTGGGGAGTATCCAGAGGAATCCCTCCCCTGCACATAGGACGGCTTCATCCGTTCATGTGTCTCTCTCCTTAGGTGTTTCCATTATTTGAATACATGTCTAATGAGCGCTTTAAGATACTAATGGCTAAATACTTAAAAAGGTAGAGCAGGAAATGTAGAAACTTAGAAAAGATTACATTTCAGTTTAAATTGATATTACAGGACTATGCTGTTGTTCATTATTTTTCGTACCATTTTTCTCCAACAAGGATCTGACCACTGAACCATATTGGTGTGTAATGACAGAATATCCACAATATAAAACTGTACTACATAAACAACTAGATGTTGAAGTCAGGATCATCCTTTTAACTTCTTAGTTGCATCATTACGTTGATTTGCTTAATAAATCTAAACACAATTGCTCTGTAACTACTGACATAATTCTGTTTACAGCTAAGTCCTTCGCTGCACAGTACTGTAGTTCTACTGTTACCACACGCTAATGTAAAAGGCAAGTAGTCCAGTTAAAAAACTTATTATGAGTTTATCCTTTGACACTTGCTATGTCATTCAGGCAACACAGCTGACTGAACACTATGGTCTGCACAATGCAACTGGTTTAAGTCTCATGCATCCTAAATAGCTGACAAAAGAAAGATTTTAAAGCTTCATGAGAGGAAGTGGTCTGCTTTTGGCTGGTTTTGGATTTTGGTGGTGGTTGGTTTTGTGGGGTTTGGTTTTTGTTGTTGGGGCTTTTGGGGTTTTTTTTTAGGTATGTATGTAGGAGAATAAAAGTTTAAGGAATGCTGAGCAAAGATCCATATTCTTTAAAACACAGATTGTTTTAAAAAGATAATGGATATGCAGGGAAGAATTTAATAAATTAGGGTTTGTGTCTTCTGTGCTTGAAATTTAAACCCATTATGTCTTGTCCTATCAAAAGTCCAGGTATTTGGGTCGGAGGCTGGTGTTCTTTAGCATTGGAACAGACTGGATTAGTTGAATGTTTATTCTTGAAAGATTCTTTGAAGCAGGTTAGACAAGTGTCTATGACAAATATTTTAGGGAGAATTGGCCCTATCTTGAAGCAGACGGATGGAGCAGATGGCCTCTAAAGGCTTCTTCCAATCCATCCTTCAGTGAGTTTATGTACTTTGTGTTTTAAATAGCATTTTGTGCATATTCAGTAATATACTTTCCCAAACACACAAAGTCTTGTTCTGTTTGCTTGTGTGTGATCTACAAAAACACTGCCTCTTCTCACTGCCTTTTTCCACTTGTGGGCTCTGGCAGGCCCGTGTTTGGTGCTGTACAGATGGTGACTTACAGCATGAGTACTTATGCTGAAAAAAAAAGCACATTACTTCCACCATCACAAGCAATCTTATCCCTAAAGGACTGGCACGTAGGAATGCCACTGGAGACCAGCATGGAAAGGAAAAATAAAGGAGCAGCTCCACTTCCAAGTACACCTATTTCCTTCTATTTGGTTTTACGGGATCTCTGCAGGTCAGTTTTCAGAATTGGTTTCTGCTTTGCAAAATCAAGCTTTCACAGACCATAGTGCCTATAATACTGTCCTCCTGGCTTCAAAGTAATTTCCTTGGGGGCATGCTGTTTCAGAGGAAAGGACTTTGCTGTACAACTTCAAGATGATTGGAAGATACAGGGACTCTAATTCTCCCTTGAAGGACTCAGCTGTAACTTATCAGATATGAGCACTCTCTGACAGACTGTGCAGACAAGATGTTGCTGACCTAATTTGTGCAGAAAACTTAAAAGTCACTGAAGGGAAAACAGAAGAATTTATTTTTTTAATTGTATGAGCAGAGTAAAATGCAGAATGCAAATAGGGAGCATGAATTAGGACAAAACAATTAACGTGCCCTTCCTTGGGGGGTCTTTGTTTTTTATCAACTATAGTATTGTCTGTAACTTTCAGCTCTTGGTAAAATCTTCAGACTTGCTCTGTGCTTCATCAGCAGGGAGCTACTCTTCCTTGCCTTTGCCCATGCAGCTACCGTTCCATTGCTCCTCTCTTTTGACTTACTCTTTTTCTCTGTTACTTCTCCAGATGTTTCCATCTTCCTTCATATTACTTTTTCCATCCTGACTTTTCCTCAGTTTTTCTGCAGAAACTCTTGGACTGGAATATGTGGCTTCCATTCACAAGTGACTAGTTAGAGCACTCTGAAAAGACTGGATGATGGGCAGGCTGCACTTGCTTGTATCCCAGCTAACCATTTCTGTCTGTCTCTTTCCAGCATATAAGTCCCCATAACCTGTGCCTCCCTCCTCACAGCACTTCATATAGTTTGAAGGCACTGCTTGATGGTAGATCGCATTTCAATATTGGTTTATTTGGGCTTTTAGTTATTTGTTTTAGCTGAGATTTAAAAAAAACAACCTCCTCAAAACAGCAAAACCAAAATTGGGTAGGGCTTGATGTGTTACTTTACATCTGCATGAATCACACGAGATTTTTACAAGAGAAACCTTTTATTGAAGTCCTATATAAATTGTTTCTCCGTTTCCTTGTAGGCTCTTCATATCATACCAGAGTCTCTCAGGTACAGACTTCCAATTACAGAAGAAAAAAATTGCTGGGTTTTTTTTCCATCTCTTGTTGCTTTTTTCTTTGTTCTTTTCCTATTCTTTTTTTTTTTTTTAATAAACCACTGGTGGTGGCTTTTCCACTGCCCATGGTTAAATATTTAAGACTAGATAAGAATACAGACATGAAAAAGAATGAATTTTAAAGACAATTCTCAAGAAATATCTGCAAGTATTTCCTTGTCTCCCTTTAGTGAACTGGTCTCTCCCCTTAGCCGCTGTTGTAAATATATTTCACAGCACATGAATGATACAAAACAGGAATAATGGGGGCAGTTTTGTTATGAGAGAGCAATTGAAGCCAGAGTTGCACAAACTTCATGTATCTTTGATACATTAGATTACTTTCAACACTATAGGAAGTGCATATAAACTTAGGCATTAAGCCTGTAAAGATGTGTTTGGTTTTTAGACAGTACACTGCCCTACTGAAGTTGATGAGTTTAAGTTTTTGGAGTTTTGGTTTTTGTTGGGATTTTTAATTTTTTTATAACTATGACTCTGTGGGCCAAACCTTCTTCTCAGGGAAGTGATGAGAAACTGGCCACTCTTCCAAAGAGAAATCTAGTTTGCAATACTAGCCAAAAGAAAGGTCCATTAAAGACAGTGCAGAGACATGCTAATAATTTACTTTAACCGTAATGCTTGTGTAAATTTAAAGTATTTTGTACATGAGCTGTTGTTAATAGTATGAATTAAGAAGGTACTGGATTAAGTCTTTCATTCTTCATGAGCGCTTAATCCTGCATGACTTACAAACATGAGGAGCAATATCAAGCTATGAATGAAGGTACAAAATCAACATATATATATTTTCCTGTGTAGATTAATATGCCGTATGGGTGCTGATTTTCATTATGTAATCTGTTCTGAGAATGGAAATAAGCACCATTATTGTTTGGAAATACTGTGAAGACAAATAGCAGTTTGAATCTACTGAATTATTGAAGTCTACTTAAATCCGAAAAATCTATTATTTTACTTCATGGAAAATTTCTAAGCGGATCATAAACTGCATCTTATTTTACATTACACTCTCCAGACTGTTAGATTATCACCTTCTCTTTTGTTTTCAAACCTTTCAAAGTTATAATGAAACAAGTCACAGGAACACATGCCCAGTTATAAAATACTCATATGTACATCTTTTACCTTGTCTCAGCTCCACTTGGCTATTAATTTAAAAATATTACAATACAAGACCACGCAAGTTAAGTTTCTTATGTTGTTGATGAATCATCTTCTACAACTACATTATATAACACTACTTGGTTTACACACACAGAGGATATTTGCAAAACTAAACAAAGATTTGCCTGTTGATATCTAGGTTTTGAAAACTGGTCTGTTTCGTGCCAATTCTGTCTCCCAGGAAGTCAGGAGTAGAGAAAGTCACTGTAAAAATGTCATTGCCTTCCATCAAGTGATTTGTCTCAAGGTGGAGAACCTTGCCAAACTCATGTCGAACAATTTATATCAACTTGTTTGTCGGGGGAGGTTTTGTTGTTTGTTTTGGGCTTTTTTTTTTTCATAAGGGGGATGTGCAGGTGCTTAAATATATATAAGTGTTTACTTGTCTGATCACGCCTGTGAAACTGGAATGCCTTTAGCAAATTAGGTGCCAGCTTCACCAGTATATTACTCCAGTTTTACACGGTGTTTAATCTCCTGAGAGCAACTAGAGTAGTGCAGTGGCAAATCAGCACCTCATGCCTAAAAGCTTGTTCTCAGCTGATCTATGAAGAGCTTGCACTTACCGCTTTGAGTAAACATACGGACCTGTGCAACAGCAGCATGTCATTTGGTACATGCATTTAATTTGGATTACAGACTGGAACAAGATTACAGTCTGCCTTTTTAGCCAGGTAAACATTAATCCCTCAGACAAAATCTTGCAGTCATGGTCCAGCCTCTCCCCATGTTGGAACCTCCTGCTTCATTTGGTGGATCTGCTTCTGTAGTTCGTCTCTGTCCAGCTTCATTTTCGCTTCTAGAACTTGCCGTAGAGACCCAATGCTCTCATAGATAGCTGCAAATCCTAATTGCAGGTGAGACTTAAATTAGTTCCTATTCAAAAGCAAGAGTATTGCTATCTAGTAATAATGCTAGTAAAGCATTATTACTATCAGAATGTGCTTCCTACCATGACACTCTGCTATACCCTAGGAATAGCAAAAGAAAACAGGACTATAACTGTGTGTCGATTGCAGAACTGCGCCCGATCACAGCCACCCTATGCCTATATGTGCTCTGGGGAGAGCACTCCTAAGCTAAAAAGATGTCACCTCTTGTTGCTGTGAATTTCACACTTGGTGAAAATCCTTTTTAGTGCCACAGGTACAGTCATTACCTCTGCCCCAAGAGTCTTTAAACTACTTCAATACAGGCAAAGGCATTTTGAATATTATTGTAGGTGGCTCATTGTTACCCCAGTTGAGAATAAAGAACTTGATAACTATGGTCCTACCAGCATTAACTTCAGCTTTCATTTCTTTTATATCTTCATTTATCTCATTTTGAAGTTTGCCAATGCGAATATTTATCTTTTCTTCAGTCTGTTTTGCTTCATGTGCTTCCATGGTTATCTTCTGTATTTCTTCTATTTTGTCAATTTTCTCTGCCATTTGGTTGAATTTCATCTCTATGGCTCTTTCACTCATTTCCTGGAGCCAGGAAAAAGAATTTTAATAATTTACTCTGCAGGTGAAATTACACTGGTCTTTCCCAAATATACAGTAGATATTAAATTAATTATCTTCTATATGGAATTCAAAACTGTAAAGAATTATTTTTTACTAAATGGTTTAAACTGACTGGATTACCATAGGCTAAAATACTGATCTATTTAGAAGTGATCAGATTTATTTGAAGACTCTCAGGCTGAGGGGATGTTACACTTGACATCAGTGAAGAGAGTTATACAAATTTTGAGGTCTGAAAATGTCACTCAAGTAATATCTGCATTATATCTTCTGAGCTATTAATGATGCTTTTGAGTATTTCCTGAGAAGAATTATTAGGACATTTGAACAAAACTTACAGTTTTTTCCTTGAAAGTCGATGAGAGTTGGTCAATCTTTTGCACAAGCTCTTTTTCAATCCTTTCGTGTTCCTGTTCCAACCAGCTACGTGCAGACAGAATCTGGCTGCTGAGTTCCTCAATGGCATTTTTCAATCTAAGAGTATTATAGAAATTAGCAGATACAAAAGAGAAGAAAATTTGGTCATTCAGCTGTGACATTTTTATGAACATGTTTGAAAAAAACCGTGGTAATGCAATACATTCTTGGCACCATATTAAGGTGAATCCTTGAACTTTTAAGGCTCCTAAACTGAATAAGGTAATACTGGTTTTGCAAATAAAGATGAAAGAGCACAACAAAATAGCAGTTACTTATGTGAAACGTATCACAACATTTTGAGATGTAGTAGATGCAAATTCTTTGCAGCACTGAAAACAGGATATAGTCATCTGTTCAGATCATAATCTTCGGGTCCATAGGTCTTAAATCTGAACAAATATTTGATAACCATTTACTTTAGCGGCAGTGCTGGTTCATACAGCCCCACTTGTGTTGCCTATTCCCACCTTAAGTCTATACCAACCAGTTCTGACAGTGAAACTGTTTCTTTAGAAAGTCTTTTTTTCCAGTGAATATTTGAGACCTGGGTCTATTCTTTCATCTAGTTTGCAAATAGTTCTACTGATGTAACTGATAGGATTGCGTGAGGCTGGCAATAAATGGTAAGGAGTGAGAAGGTGGATGGCTTAAGCCACAACTGCCACTGAGTGAAATGTCTGGAGAAGAGTTAATATCTGAATTGAGTATATCCCTATATAATGTCTAGTAGTAGCACAATAGCTTATCATTAATAATTTAGGTATTTGAGTGATATATTCATGTTTGAAGCCAATTTAAAGCAGTAACACTTTGTGAATGCTTTGCCTCAATTCCTGGTGGCTTGAGTTGAACTTTTTGCTCTGCACTCGACAGCCAGCTCCAGCATTTGTTGCCTCGTACAAAAAGGCCACTCCTACAAAAATCCTTACTGGTGTTCTTTAATACAAGTCCTGTCTGAACACTTAACTAGGGACTTAACAGGCGTATCAGAATCGCCTAACCACATTAGGGACAGAATTCTTGTTGAAAGCGAATCCTACTTGACAGACCATGTGCTTTTGTAATATCTCTTGAGCACACATACGTATTTAAACAGGTTCGTGCTTTTGTAGACCTGAAGATTACAACAGTCAAACTTGGAAAACTGATGACCAGCTCTTCCAAGTCGCATGGCAGCAGCCAGGTTTCCCGGGCACTCACTTCATATCCAGAAGGTGGAGCTGTTGGTTGCTCTCTTTGTAAGCGATCTTCAGCTTTGCTTCTTGTTGCATTATTGATTGCTCTACTCTGCTCAGAAGATGAGAAATCTGAAACCAAATTCAGAAGTTACTATTTCTCAACAGCATTTCATCACAATCTCGTTTGGGACATTTTCATAACACTAGAGGAGATCTTAAAGAAGGGCCATTTTTGCTGCCACTTCACAGTTACTGAATTTGCGTGTTTTTACTTTATCATGAAAAATAAATTATCTTGCAAGATGAAGGTATCAATATTGTGAAAACTGTAATTTTTCAGCCATAAACAATTTGAATAGCTTTGCCTTCAAAGCGTCTGCCTGCTCCCCCTCCTTGAGGCAGCTGAATTTATATGATCTGTGATATAAGTGTCTGTGATGCCACATAAGCAGAGTAAACAACTGGCAGAGCACTCCACCAATACTGAGTGATATTCTTTATCACATCATGTATAGTGGCTACTGCAGTGATGAAAGTGCTGGGTTTAATTGGGGATAAGTCACGACTAGCAGAAACTTATTTTTATTTTTACAAAACACACTGTTTTGTTTTAAAAGATTCCTGATTAATATGCTCCTGGCATGCAGGTACTGAGCCTTCTGAGAAAGGTAAAGTGCATTTTAACCATTTACGTGCTGCAAAATGGAGAGGTAAATTACTTCTGTTGCCCAAGAAAATGGGAAGGCCTTGAAAGGAGCTGCGAAGAATCCTTTGCCTTAATGTTATAAGTCTCTGCTTCTATCTAGTTCTCTCTTTCATTCTTATACCCAATGGAAGAGAAACCTGACAGCCACATCAATGGATTCACAGAACCCAAAACTAGTTTTGTTTTTCAGACCTTCAAAAATTGTGATTAAATACATATAAAACCATCCTGGGAAGGCCAAAACATACAGGGAGAGACACTGATGCTTGCATTGTTGTGGTAGTTTTGTAGAGCATCCTTGTCATGTTCACATTCCAACCTCAAGAAGCCATTCAGGCCAGTAATCACTGACTTTTGTTCATTCCTAGAGTCCTTTCAGATGCTTTGAAGTACTATCCCCTTCTCCGTGACATGCTAAAGGACTTTTTTTCAGTTAGACCAGTACAATAATGCAGCTAGGTACCAGTATTCAATCTAATAAGGACTAGGAGCAGATACATCTCTCCATTTGTAAATCTGTGACCTCCCAGGATAATAACTGACAGTAATGGAGTCGGTGTGAATTGGATCATAACCCTTACCCATACATGGATCACTTTGATCGAAATACCATACCTGTATTTCTGCCTCTTTGATTTTAGATTCCAAGATGAGTTTGGAGGTCTGTTGGTCTTTACTTAAGCTCTGAAGTCTTTCATAGGTAATTTTATGTTCTGCAGACAGTCTGGCTAACCCAGCATCACACCTGTGTGAATAAAATACCAAAGCAACAGCTGAAAAGACTGTAAGGTCCAGGCTTTTAAAGTTACCCATTTTAGACTGGGCATTTCTGTGAAATTGCTGCCTGTCTAGTGAAACAATGTCTTTTGAGACAGTAAAAATGGTGATAGATCTCATAGTATTCAGCAACCTACTCCCAAATGGGACTAGAAGTCAAATAGTCTGACACATGCATTCCTGTCTTCTTGACACTGACATAATATGTGTAGACTGTGTTGTTATCAGTCAGGGGAAGCACATTAGAAATGCAAAGATGCAGAATTTCAATACCTTCAATTTTGTCATACTCCAAAAGACATCTGCTAAGGTGTGTGTGATTTCGCCTACATGATTAGAAGCTGAAATAATTGAGGACTATTTTTTCATTATTGCAGCTGTGTTTCTCTGAGTTCTACGTTCTGATTTTTATTTGTGAAACAGTAGTATACATTAGTCTGTGTAGTAAACAATGTGCAGCAAATTTTACAGTTATCAGTCTTTATTTAGGTAAAACTGTCATTGAAAACAAAGGCAACTTTGTCTCTCAAATGCAGTGCTGGAACATAATTCTTGTTTCCTTCCTTCATATTGGAACATGACTTGATGCTGTAACATTTTCAGGATAAATGCGCTATAGAATATGTGCATTTTCTACCACATTTCAAAGCTGGTCAGGTGGATTTCATCTCCAGTAATACAGTAAGGGCATTAAGTGAGCTATAAAAATGTAAGTACTGTAATTTCAGGAGGAACACCTATGTGAAGTACAAGTCCTGCATATTTTTTTGCTAAGGGAAATAATGTTATCAGCAGTGTTAGCAAATTTATTCTATGAAACGGATGGAGAACAGACAGCAGTTACAATTTGAGGGAGAAAAAGGCAGTAAAATGAAACAAGCTAAAGCACCTTAAGTCATTACCTAAACCAATGACACATTTTAACCTCTTTTTTAGTCACGTTTCAATTTGAAGGCTTTCATTTCAACATGCATTTTCATCACCTCGGTTACAGTAACTACCATTATCAAACATGAAGGGAAAGTAACAGCTAAAATGACAAATGGAGCATCTGCTTAGTATTACAGTACAATTTCAATATAAAAATAATCAGTAATGCAACACAGAATCATAGACATTATAAAACTTGTGAAAACTAATTTCTGCTTTAGGAGTTCAGCATTGTGAGAGCAACTGGTAATACCTGTAAGAAGACCAGATAAGGTCTACGTGGCAGTCAACTATGAACCATACTTGTAGGTCTTAAAATCAGATAGTTTCTTTAGAAAGATGAGAGGAGCCAAATCTCTCCATGTTGGTACAATCAAAGAGAAACAGAGGAATGAAGTCATCTTGCATCTAGTCACCAAAAGCCTCTGGGCTCAAAAAATGGTTAGCTTTGTTTCTCTGAGACATAACAGAAAAGACAAAAAGCAACTGCAGCAAATGTAAACAGCAGGCATGTGTAATTGGTTTTAAGGCAAATGAGCAATTTGGGTCTAATCACAGTGCATCTCTCCTCTTTGTGTGACTCGGTTATGTGATCAAAGGGGTCATACAGTTGCATGGTAACTGGAACATTAAAATTCTGACTATGGTAATTTACTGTCAGTCACGTATGTATTAATCAGATTATTTTGGGTTTCTACAGGGATGCTGTAATTGGCATCAAAACATTTAAACAAAGTTGGACTAAAGCTTAAATTCCACTGTCATGTAGCTAGCCTGCTAAGTTTGGGGAGTTGTTAAAAACCAATATTCCATATTTTGAGGCAGTGAAAGAGAAGTCTTTTTGAGATACATAGATATATATATATGTCTCTCTCTCTCTCTCTCTCTCTCTCTCTCTCTCTCTCCCTCTCTCTATACACATATAGTACACACTTCACAAACACCTGATTAGTTTTGACCTGGAAGGAAACATTAGTGTCCTGCAGACAAAGAATGAGATTCTGATATATTAGTTATGTGAGTATACACTTCGAGATAAAAACTGAGAACAATTAAATAACTTCAGTCCATGCTTCCACTAGCTTTCAAATGGTGGAGAGTCACTAATAAGATGAGCATGTGGAAGACCATGGACTTTTTGATTCAGGTTTCTACTGCGTGGTGGGTCAGAAGAAAATGAGCAATCTAAACAAAAGGGCACATCATAGCTTGGAATTTTTCCTCATTAGAAAGGAAAAAAGACAAAAGGCACCAAGAAAGGCACATTACCATCCCCACGGAACTTCCCATACCTCTGAAAGTTCTGCTTTGATAGTTCTTTATAGATTCAAGTTAAAATGACAATAGAATTCTTCTTAAAAATAGAACTGAATGTTTCTGAACATGGGATTTAAATTCCTGCGTAATTTAATCAGACTGTCCATATAAATTAAGCCAGTTGACTGTGGCTATAAAGACAGAAGCTGAAAACAACTTTACAGGTTTGGTCATCTTAAAAGCACAAGGAAAGAAATGACAAATAGATTAAGATTTCTAGGAAGAATATTAGTTTAAAAATGTAAGACCTGTATATAAAACCATCTTGTACTAAGAAATGCATAATAAACCTGTATTTATGTCTGAAATGCTGAAGCTGGCCATACAAACAATCCAGTGCAGTTTTTCATGTGCACTTGCACAGATGTCCTGTTGAAATTGGGCCGAAGCTGCACTGGAAGGTGTTCAGTTCACCACTGCTTGATTTTGGAGGACGTTTTCTGAAAGTTCTGATTGCCAAGCTATATACTTAAGTGAAATCAGTGAATGAAGAATAAATTGAGAGATTTCATAGTGCCAAGTATTATTCTCAGTTTCAGAATACAGTATAATCCTAGGAGCAAGTAATGTTTAATCTAAACAGTGAAATTACCAAACAACTGCTTTCCAAGTCATACTGAGCAAAAGCAGTAGTTATTCTTCTGGCACACTGAAGAGTATTTTTGTTGTCTTTGATCTCTAGGAAATCAAAACACAATGGTTGTTCTGTTCAGTATCACCAGGACTAGATAAAGCTGAGAACTACATCAATAGTCTGCAGCAGGATGCTATCTAAATATGCTATAATGGTACATACAGATCTTAATGTTCCTGGTTTAGTGTAACAGGAGATGTTTCAATTTAAATGCCAATGTTTCACTGACAAACAAGTAGCTGAAGAACAAGTAGTGAAAAGCAAGTTGTTATGTGTAGGGGATCTACTGGGCAAGAACAGCAACACTAGTAGCTTCTGGCCAGCCTGAATCAAGGAGCCCAGGTCAGCCCCCATGCAACTAGCCAGAGTGCAGCAGATTTATTGTACTTCTGCAGTTCATAAATGCAGCACATCCCAGATGCATCAGACTCATTTTCTGTGCAGTGTAGGAAAATCTGCCTACATGTAATGAGTCCAGCGTGTCTGAAATGAATCAGATCTATAATGTATATAAAAAATCATCTAAATATGCCAAGTAGGCCCGATTTGAACAATCATAGCTGCCATTTCTCTGGATGTTTCATCTATCAGGAAGCTTCTAGAGACAGCTACTGCTATAGTTCTGACCAGGCTGATGTATTTAAACTTCCCAGACAAATTATCATAGACCACAAGTTATTCTCTAAATAAATGATAAGGCACTACTCATTATTGTAACGATCTAATATCACTAGAAATAGAATCGGTAAATCTGTGTTATATAAAATTGCCAACATCAGGGACAGGAGACTGGAGTAATGGATCTGTCAGCATCTATCTAGTTTTCTGCTGAATGTGTAACTGAATTTAATAGAGGTCATATTTTTCTTAGCCAGTAATACTGCTGATTCTTAGGAAAATGCACAGCATCATTCATGGTGAGCACTGCAGTGATGCTTTAGAAATCAGCAATAAATTGTGCTTCATGAGAAATGGCCCACAGACATGAGCTGTAATGTGTATTCAGTCTTCTTCTGATAGTGATATTAGTTGATGCTGTGGTGCAGGTGAGGTCAACTGTGAGGTCTGTCCACATCTCATTCTTCCAGAGCTGTGGGTAGCGTGGTTTTGGAGCTGTGCATCAGAAATGCACGTGCATGTAGGGATCCCTGTTCTCATCATTAAAAGCAGCAACCCTGAAGAAATAATGAGACAGTTGCTTGATTACATATTGACATGTTACAGAACAGTTGGTGTTAGGAAATAAACACCAGTCTCTCCAATATTGAAGTTGAATAGGATGTTTAGTATGCATGTAATTACTGGAACTGAAAGTTGGCCAGCATCCTGAGATTGACGCTAAAATTATTACAGGACCGAAAAGCTCAGATTCAGGTGATTTGCTGTCACGTGGCACATATAAACTGATTCACACTGATTGTCAATCTGCATTCTTCTAGCCTAGAGCAACCACGATTTGGAGGTAAATTAGCCTACTGTTGCTGCAGCCTGAGCCATACATTGTACCTTGACTGTGGCTGAAAGCTGCTGAATGGTAAATTGGTAACCCACAGTAACTTGATCATGTTTCTAAGGTTTCACTCTCTGCACTCATCTGAAAGCTATCAAGATTAGATGTAAAAGTTAAAATTACATTAAGTGAGTTCATCTTATTTCATATAAGGAACCTTGGCTAGAGTAATCAGAAAGTGTTAATCCCAGGGAATGCTTCTGGTGTGTATCTCTGTAATGCCAACAGCATAACAAACTGCCATCTTGACCGTGATCTCTAGATACTGCTGTAATCATCCACCTTCATTTTCAAAGTAGAGTATGTCTGTAAATAAAGGCAAATAGCTTTCTTCCATGGAACACTACTTTAGCTTGCTTTCTGATAAAGAGAAGCTTATTTTCTTCCTCATTCAGAGAGAATTTTTACATAGCATAATCACAGAATCACTAGGGTAATGCTGAATAGAAGGTAACAGTTAAAGAACAATAAACTGATTCTCTTAGGGTAGTGAATACAAATAGCCAACACTTGTTCCACAGTCTAACATAAGGCAGGTTGATATAATCTCATACAGTTATCAGATAAACTGTAAACCAGGCACAGTACAAGGATGTTGCCCCAAGTAAATAAAGGAAGAAATCCTGCACAGACTGTGCTAGTCCCACTGCCAATCCCCATAGCAAGTACTTTGGAGAGGCAATGGTCCCATTGCAAAGCTCATGCCGGCATGTGTTTGTTCACTTGAGCTCTGTTACTGAAAGCAAAGGCACTACGACTGGCTTTAGAAGGTGTCAGTAACTGTGCTGTTCCAAACACGGACTTCTCTCAGGATGTAGTATGATCTCAAACTGGACTTTTTATACAAAGAAGCAGGAAGATCTAAGCATGTAAATTTCTCAGGGATTTCTCAGTGAGATAGCTATGTGTGCGTGTGTGTATCTATATATTTTTTCAGTCAATTTTTTTATTTGACAAAATGTCTAGTGCATTTCTGTTTACTGAAGGGTAGTGCACAACTTTAAATAAAAAAAAGTCAGTAAGTAGAAGCTCCCTAAAGTGCTCTTTACAAAATGGACCATGTATGTTAGTGGGAACTGAAAAAAAACCCAAATCATTTATGAGAAAACTTTAGTTGAAGGAAAATCCCTCTGTGATTATTTTTGTCGGTTGTTGAAGGTTGTCGCTAAATCAGTTGAAGTACAAGCAAAGAAAAATGAAAGTTACCTGTACAATATAGGCAGTGGGTCAAATTCAGGACAAGTACACTTCCACCAAAGTTATCAGCCAAACTACTTTAGGCCAGATTAGGTCCTTTTTCTGTAGCTGTGTATATCCTCTGTCTTTTGCGTCCAACTTTACAAACAGTTAAGCGAATGTTATTATAGTGGGGTTGTAAATGTGGTGTTGGTAGCTGTTGTGGTTCAAGCCCAGCTGGTAACTGGGAACCACGCAGCCGCTCGCTCACTCCCTCCCTTCTTCCTCCCCCTGCTCCCAGAGGGATGGGGAGGAGAATCGGAGGAATGTAACTCCCACGAGTTGAGATAACAGCTCTCCAGTAACTAAGGTATAATACAAACCACTGCTGCTACCAATAATAATGATAAGAGGAATAACAAGGGGAGAGGACACAACCGCTCACCACCCGCCGACCGATACCCAGCCCGACCCGAGCAGCGATCTGGGCCTTCCGGGTAACTCCCCCCAGTTTCTATACTGGGCATGACGTGCTGTGGTATGGAATAGCCCTTTGGCCAGTTTGGGTCAGGTGTCCTGTCTCTGCTTCCTCCTGGCTTCCCCTCCTCTCTGGCAGAGCATGAGACTGAGAAAGTCCTTGCTCAGAGTAAACATTACTGAGCAACAACTAAAACCATCGGTGTTATCAGCGTTGTTCCCGGGCTGAAAGTCGAGAACACAGCACTGCACCAGCTACTAAGAAGGAGAAAAAATGGTTGCTATAGCTGACCCAGGACAGTAGCACAATGTGACAGTAGCACAAGGTCTGTGTAGTGGCACAACTGTGATATGGAGCTTCAAGTAGCCTGTAAAACCTCTATTATTTTATAGCTTTCTGTTCCTTACATGTCAGGTAGCCCACGCATTTTTTTATGGCTAACCAATACCTGAACACACAGATTTTTGCTCCTAAGATATATGCAAAAAATGTGCAACTGTTCTGCTCTTTACAAGTGCAGATTGTTCCATGCTGCCTTTATAATTGTGCTAATTAATTTGTTTCAAAGATAGACCAGTATAACCATAGTATTCTTTAAAGCTGAACCAAATCCAAATTCCTAAGGAATTTGAGGTAATTTATTAAAAACTAATTTCAGGAATCTCAGGAATCAAGGATAACATTGTTACGTTTAACACGTAATGCTGGAATGCAAAGGATTATTATTCATTTTCATGAAAACACAGAGTAAAATTACCCCAGGAATTCTGCCAAAGTTGAATTCAGCCCATTGTCATTAACATTCATACTTCAAGATTAAAGCAACATTAGCTAGTCCCCAAAATATACTTCTGTGTTGACTTTTACCTTGCAACTCTTCCCCGAAGATCTCCTAAACCAGAAAGCTGCCGCATTTCCAGACTCTTCAGGGTAGAATTTGTTCCATAGCTGAGATTGTCTCTGACACGTATCTGTTCCTGCAGCATCTACAAAGCATTCATATGCAAATACAAACTCAGTATGTCACCTTTAATGTACACTTAAAATGTCACTCATTATTTTTCAGTATTTCATAACATCAGATACTATTTTTTATTACTTTATTAAAAGCATTGTTTTGCCTTGTACTAAACCAGACACCTTTTAGGTCATCTATTCTTTTTTATTCTTAGTGTCCAATCTGCATATAAATACCATAATATGCAAAGTATGAGCTGGCAAGGGAACGGAGTCTTAAATACTAACTTTTATCCTTTAATTTTCCCCACCACAGCCCTGTTGCTCATTGCAGCAGAGGTCAGGCATGAAGCCACGTATTTGCATGTGATTAGGGCATAAAAATGAGCGGTTGTGTTTGGCTGCTTGGTGTCATCTGTAAGTTGGAAGTGATAGAAAGTTTATTATAGAGCTAAGGCATTTCCTGGTGTTTATACAGCACAGCCTTTGGTCTGAAGCTGAGCTGGGTATTAGTGTCGCATTAATTAATTTTTTTGAGGTTTTCCAGTGCAGCTTTTCAAAACAAGTTTCTTAGTACCACAAAGGTTTCTGTGTTTACATGCTAATATGCTGTGCTATCTTCATAGCTACTGAAAGAATTAAGCAATTTGCAAGCAGTTTTTCAAGTTACAAAAACAATTCATAAGCTTACAGGATCTTTAGACCTTGTCTGACCTTTAGTTATCCTGTGGCAAACTTTCTTATTAAATTAGAAGGAACAAGTAGCTGACATGGCATTAGTCCTGTGAAAAATTCTTAACATACCTCAATGTCCCGATTAAGCTGCCTCACTATTGCCGTTATGTTTCGGATATGTTCTTCCAAGAGTTGCCTAGCCAACCGGTCACCCCCCCCTTTGTTCTGCATTCTGTGCAGAGTGGAAACAATGTCCTCCTTAATGCGAAAAGCGTGTTCCACAAGAGCCGCTGTTGTTTTCTCATGGCTTAGGATTCTGTCTTCCAGCTGATCCACCAGGCTCGCAGATGCCAGTGGGACCGCTGTCAATGCCTGGCTATGCAGCGCTATGTTTCGAACCCGTCTAGTGAAGAAGAATATCCAGATATTGTTAATTTGGCACACACAACTCTGCAATGTCTTTCCACTGGAGACAGTGCAATATTACCTTAGTAGCAGTATTGGGGAGAAGCACAAAAATACTCACAGAGTAACCCACTGCTACGAGTAAGTATTGGCTATTGTGAGTATTATGTACAAAGGCAGGTCAGGCTCTCTTTCATATTCTTTAAGGAAGCTTAAAAAAGCAAAGGATCTTAAGAAAAGGACATTAGCATTATAAAATCAGTTACAATCCAGAGCTATAATGTGATTAAGAATCCAAATTCAAAAACCTTTTATTGTATTTCGAAAGTAATGCTATTTGGCTCTACAGTTTTCAGGCTTAATGAAAGCAGTAACTGCAGAAGGTATATACTGCAAATTAAATAACAGCAGACTGAGATTAAAAAGGAGTAGCTTGTATCCATTCCTTTTTTCAGTCTCTATAACTGCTCTCTAATAAAGCTTATTCCTTCATCTCCTGGACAGGACAATATGCACGTGTACCAACTGAGGAGAGACCAAAATTATGACTAGCTTCTCATAGTCTTGGAAGTCAGATTGTCCTCCAAAAGAGCTTACAGTTGGGTACCTTAAGTAATTGTCTAGACTTTTGAAGAGTTCTGCACTGCATAGCTTCCATGGAAAGCAATGGAGCTCATGGGTACTCGAAGTAAAAAATTAGGCTGCTAATGCATGCAATCTTTTCCTGCTGCTATATTCTGTAAAGAATAAAGAAAATTTTCCAAAGCATAGACGGAAGATACAAATTCAACCCCACTTTGAAAGAGGAGATCTTTTTCTTGGAACTCTGTATTTACTGTGTATTCTCCATATTGTTTCCTGTTAATGAGCCAAATTAATAATTTACTTTCACTGTGATGATATTGATAGAGATGTATGAGGACTCCTGCAAAGGTCAGTTCTGGCTCTGAGTTTCTGTACTTAGTCCATACTATTAGAAGACTGGCTCAGTATAGTGTTCTTGGACTTCTACTCACTTACAGTTTAAACTATTTGATTCATCTTGGAAAAGGTGAAGTAAAATCTGAGTAAGGAATTGTGATTTGGGCCATGATTTGAATAAGTCTACAATATTTCACTTTGCTTTGCATACTAATGCCAAAGTCCCAAGTCACAGCATTACTATATATAGGGAATTGAGAGACACATAATACTTTGCATATGAAGATTTTACTTTTTACGTTCCAAACTGTACCTTTCAGAAGGGGCAAGAGTTGGGAAGATTGGGCTTCGCTGGGCCATTTTCTGGTCAATAATTTATGTCTGTTGAAAAAGTACACATTGAATTATTTAATAGTTTATAGCTGGCACTGAAACAACTTACTGCTGCTTCTTTAAGTGAACCTTTAAGTAAAGTTTAAGATTATGCTGACAGCTTTGATCTCGGAATTCAGATATTGTTTATGGAATAAATACAAATAAAAACTAACACAGAAGAATAGCAACAAAAAACTGCTAAAAAGCTTTTTTTTGTAGTGAAAACGATACTCCTGAAAAAGGCACGGCTGACAGCCTTGAAACTGAAATCTGCTGTTGACCCACAGAACTGGTTTGGCAGGACAGAGGCAAACAAACTTCTTGTCCCCAATCTCTCTGCTGGTCTCAGACATCATCAATCAATCAATCAATAAAAAAGTAAGATCGACAGGATTATCAAAAAGCTTAAGAAGGTATTGGCCAGAGAATGAAATAAAAATATTTAATCACAGCAGATTTTTTGGGGTCAAGTATTTTTCCGGTAAAAGCTTTGGCAGTCAGAAACCTAAATAAAATGTGTGACATCAGTATAGTTTAGCAAAACTGAGTCTTGCATTAATCTGTCTTCAAATCTAAACAGCCACGCTTTATGTTGTAAATACTTCCGTGATAAGAATATAAATTCTGGTTTTAGTTTTTAGGCATAGCCAGCCAGACTGTGACAGACGTTGCAGCAGGGTAGGTCTGTTAAGTAGCTTCAAAGGAACATTTTGGATATCTTACTGTAAGTGAGACCAGTATGTGGCTCAGTAGCTTTATCCATTGACAGAAATTAAGTTAATGAAAAAGATGGTATCCTCAATAAAATCCAACTATTCCACCCTCTACAAAACAAATAAACATTAACTACAAATAGGATGAGTATGGCCTGAACCTGAATTCCTTGGGAACCTAAAATCCTTGCTGAAAACTGAAGGCTGATGTATGAAAAGTATTTTGCAATTGCTGATGCAATCTGGTGTAATATGCTGCAGAAATAGGAAAATAGGGTTATTGATACAAGATAGTCAAATACCGATGGCGAAGAAGTGAAAGGACTACCCTCAGAGATCTCAAAATGCAAAGCATGTTTGTGCTTTAGAAATGTATGAAAGCAGTGCCTAAAAGCAGAGAGCAAACATTGTCACAGTATGTGTGTTCTATTTATAGCACAGTGCTTCAGAAACTACAAATTAGAAAAAAATAGTTTTGAGAGAAGCTGGGTTGCTGAGCAGCAGTGACACTAGACTGCAATTCAGAAGGTCTGCTTCTAATTCCTTGCTCAATCTCTGGACAAGTTGTTTCCATGTCTAATGATTCTGCTTCCCTACATGGAAGACAGAGATAGTGATACCTTCCTCCTTGTTTAAGTTCTTGCATGCCTATGAGTAAAAGGCACAGGATGAGAGCTGGGTATCATTGTGACGAGTTGTGCTTTCAAAGTCCTGCGCAGGCCCTGCCTGTCCAGTCCCGCACCCCTTCCTTTCCCGGCTGTTGGTTTGTAAACAATGCCGCCGCTCTGCGGGGCGTCCCTCCTCTTCGCAGTGTTACACAGTACAGTCACAGGGCACCTCTCCCCACATCTGAGCTCATTTACTCCTAGTCCTCTGGGCCATAACGTGTTTTACTGACCTCGATGCAATAAAGTGTTTAAACACAACTTAATTATAAGCTCAGGACTATCCCACTGCAGCGAAGCACTGGATGCTTCCTGGAAAAATGAACAAATATTGAAGTCTGTACATCTAGCGGTATCTTAGTGAAATGTACCTTACAAAAACCAGCCAAACAAGAAAAAATCCTCAACTGGATTGTAGTAAGTGTTGTAAGTAAGTGTTGTAATCTTACAACCTTCAGTACTCTTTAATTGTTGATTGAAAAAGATCAAAAATGTTTGCAGCAGAGCAAGCATAGGACTGCTTGAAGGTTTGACTTTTTTTCTGCCAGACTGCATTAGACATGCAGCTAAATGCAAATGTCTGGAGAAATTGTGCCTGTGAAACAAAAGTTACACAGATGGACTCTCATTCTTGCTGACTGAAGCGCATCACTCAGTACAACAGTGAAATAGCCCCTCATTTCTTGATCTGATCTAACATCCAGAAGGGGTGGGTTAAGACCTTGCTCAGCAGTTGTAAAAAAGCTTTTCTGTAGTTTGGAGGTATTTGCAGTAAGCAATAACGGATAGGTGTCAGAACTAATGACAGACTCCTTTATAATGTCGATTTAGAATCATAGAATAGTTAGACTAATAAATACAAAAATAAAGGAAAAAATAAGATATTCTGTGCCTGGGTTCAGAGGAGTGTAATTTCACACAGCTCTGATTTTAGTGGCAGTAAACTGGAATCAAGTTGGATACCAACTGACATATGGGTTTCAGGAGCTTACTTTATTTTTTTTAAATGATGTTACCTCCTGCTTGACACTACTATAGCAATTTAAATCATGACATATTAGCCAGTGATTTTGTTGATTGGTTTAATTTACTGAATATTCCAAATATACTTGTCACATGGACAGAATTTTCCCGGTTCTAAATAGTACGCCTGATTGCCAAAAGCAAGAGTTCACTTGATACTTAAGGTAGCTTTTCCATATGAGCATCTCGTACCTCTTTATCGTTTCTTCAAGCCACTGACATCAGACATGTAAAAGCTTGGAAAAAAACCATACTTGGGACATGCTGTAGAAACCCTTTTATCAAAGCAAAGTTCATTCCTTGCTATTTGTACTGCGGCATCCCTTGCCCACTTCAGCAGGCTGCCTTGCATGTTTATTTTCTGTGGGTTCTCCATTTCTCCTGTTTTGAAGGATAATCACATCTGTAATGTTCAGCTCTCCATCTTCCATGATAACCTGTGCCAAATACTTGCTGTAATGTCTGTGCACCTTGGAGCGTTTTTCACATTCATTCTCGCAATATGTCTGGGTGCTGGGAAAGTATTTTTCCTGAAAATGTTATTTTCCTTCTGTTGCTGGTAGGGGAGCGAAGCACGTGGGGGCTACGTGACGTGACACGAGTTGCATGGGAATCGAAGCAGACTGAAATACCTGCCTAGGCAAACACTTTAATCACTCTTTTCTTCTGAAAATAGAAACCACTTTGGTTGCTGTACAGTATGGCAGCACCGCTCCGGAGCCGCAGATCCTGGTGTTACTCTGGAGCACTTTGGGGCGACATTTTGGAGTACATGAGAAAGCCCCTGTGTCACAACTCGGCAAAAAGATGGGTCAAAAACTGGTGTATCAGTGAGTCACGTGAAACAAACCCTTGCAAAACCCCTCTGCACTGCCATGACGTTCTTTGAGCATGAATGCGGTGTGCGGCGGAGTGCGGGGCGGGCGCTCCCCCCCGGCAGAGAGGGAGCCGTGCCAGCTCCGAGCCCAGGCTAAGGGTC